ACACACACACACACACACACACACACACACACACACACACACACACTCTGACTAATGCTCTAAGAAACTGGGAATCCATACTACCAAGGCCGCTCTGAGAAATACCTCAGTGGCTTCTCATTGACTGAGGAAGCTGGGCTATTTATACAACCAATTCTGCCTTGTGGCTAAGGAATTCCCAGCTCTGCAGACATACTTCCATAGACACACCTCCTAAGGGAGGATGCAAAGGAGACTAGGAACACATTTGAACTTTCCTAAAGAAATGCTTAACTGAATTCCAAACTTGTGACACCAAGTTTTATATAAAAGTCCATTTTATTTAGTCTAAAATATGTATATTAGTTTTAAAACAAGCTTGGCTCAAAGTTTTAACTGTTAACATCACTTTGATATTAGGAACAGAACAGCCTGTAGTTTTACTAACACTAATTTAAGAAATCCATTATGTGCAGTACTGCCAATAAAAAAAGAAAGAAAGAAAGAAAAATCCATTCTGTGTAGAAACATTGTGGTGTTACTTTCCTCAGACTTTTAAAACTTTTAGAATGAAATCACTTTAGCTTATAAAAGACTTCTTAAGACCTGTATTATAGCTTGTAAAAGACTATTTTATGACATTCAACAAAATTCCACCCCACTTTCTCTGATAATAAAGAAGTGTTTTCTTAAACTGTGACTTGTTAAATGACGTGAAACTAGGGAGAACTGGGTGGTACCGTTAGTATCCTGGTTATCTTGGTGTTTGGAGAAGACTATCCTGTGCTTCACCATTTGCTGCCAGGCCTTACAGAGATAGGGCCTGAAGTCCGAGTCGGCATCCGAGGGCAGTTTACACGCAGCTGGCCCTTCTGTAGACGCTCCAGCTCTCTGCATTATGCTTTGTGTTGTTGCTAAGAGGATCAAGCGATATTCATTGACAAGTTTCTCTAGAAGCTTAGAACATTTCTTCAGAGTAGACTCCTGCAAGTTCACACTTTCTCCTCCATTGACTCGGTCTATCCAGTAAAACGCTGACAGGCTGTCCACAATCAAAAGACAGAGAGAGGGGTGACTACAGAACATGGCTTCTAGTGAATAGAGGGTGAGCAGGAGCTGGGTACTGCTGCTGCAATAAACCAAAAACATTCTTCCAAGGCAGCACTTTATCATTTCTTCAGAGCTTTGCGATAGCCTATGCTCAAGAACTGTAACAAGCCGAAGCATGTCAAAGTGGTAATCTGTATCAATAAATAAGACTTCTACTTCCAATCCACCTTCTGACCTTGGAAGTATACATCGTGCGGTTAAATGATAGAGCATTTCTGTTTTTCCTGTTCCTTCTGGACCGTGAAATTCAAGAATATCACCTGTGTAAAGTTTAAAAATGTCAGTCAAAACGCAGAAATGAGAAGTCTGCATGCAGAAAGGTTCAAGGAAACATTTACAGGAATGTCAGAATCCAAATCCATTTGCCAAATGGATGTGACAAGCAAATACAAATGAGTAGGGAAAGCATTACATGTTAACTCCCAAGTTGTGGAGGGAGGCAATGGATCCACCCTAAAAATCATGTTTCTCAGTCTCCCTTGTAAAGAGGGATTGCCAGGTGAATAGTTGTAGCTGCCAAGAGGCAAGTTGATGTCTGCTGGGGCCTCAAGGGTTTTTTGCACTCTATGCAGGTGTCACTCCTTGTGTGGAAGTGGCGCAGCCATCTCCAACCAGTGAAGATGAAAGACAGACAGTTGTGCCCAGCTTTGGATAACAACAGCTGCTTGCGGCCTACCCCATACTACTGCACCAAGGGGAAAATAAGCCTCTCCCTCAACTGGACTTCTGTTGCTGGCTGGTGAGAGTCATCCCTAATCAGGTGCCTCATGCTATCAGAATTAGAAATGGTATAGTTCTTGGCTTTCTCGGTTCACAAATTACAGATGGCAAGAGTTCCATGGTGCTCAGGCTCCACACACCGATGGCACCCTTCAACTGAAAAGCCCTGACATATATATCCAGACGGCTTTAGGTTATGCTTTTCAATTGGAACAGTTCTTCAGAGTTGGGAGGGTTGCACTTGTGTAGCATGCCTGAGGCCCTGGGTTTAATCCCCAGCACCACACAAACACACACATATACATATACACACACAAAAGGAATATCTCTTAAAACTGTATCTAGCTACATAATAAATTATTTTCCCCCATAGTATAAGCCAAAGTCAACCACTTTGAACCTTAAAGATTCCAAATTTCTTTCTAAATTTCTTATTAACTTCAAGAGCAGTACAAGCTAATAAAATGCCACCTGGGAAATTGTCCTGCTTCCAGAACTTTTCAAAATGCATTAAAGACTAATGTTCCAATTCTTCCTAGTTTGTTTGTCATTATTGCTAATATATGGCTGAACCATCTGATTTGGAAACACTATGTTTAAAAGCAGATTTTTAGGCCTCAATCAAATTACAGTGTATCTAAAAATTCAGATATTTTATTTCCTATTATTACAAACCACTGGACACTGAGGTATTCTCAAACAATATAAAAGCATAAAAGTATAAAGTTATAATTTAGCAGGAGTAACTTCAAGCATTCTATTACACAGTAGGGGACTACAGTTGACAATAATATATATTTCAAAATAGCTACAAGAAAAGATTTTGAGGTTCTTCCCATAAGGAAATGACAAATGTGAGGTGACTGATATGCTAATTACTATGATCACTATATAAGGCACACCTTCTGAAATAGCACCTTGCATCTCACAAATACATACTGTTATTATGGAAACGTTAAAATTTTTATTAAAAATCTAGCAAGTTATACTATACCTAAAAAGTATAACTTCAGACAAGGCTGGGATATAACTTAATGGTAGAGACTTACCTAGCATGCATGAAGCCTAAATCTGGCTCTCAACACTACACACATACACAACAAATAAAAAGCTTAGCCAATTTCCACTATAATCTTACATAAAATTTGTGACTTAAAAAAAAATTTTTTTTTTGGGGGGGGGGTGGAGGTCCAGTCGTGGGCCTGAACTCTGGGCCTGGGCGCTGTCCCTCAGCTCTTCAGCTCAAGGCTAGCCCTCTACCACTTGAGCCACAGCGTCACTTCTGGCTTTTTTTTCCTGTTTATGTGGTGCTGAGGAAATCAAGCCCAGGGCCTCATGCATGCAAGGCAAGCGCTCTACCACTGAGCCAACTTCCCAGTCCTTAAAATTTATTTGTAAAAAACTTTTAAGCCAGGCACTGGTGGCTCATGTCTGTAATCCTAGCTTCTCAGGAGGCTGAGATATGAGGATGGCTGTTCAAAAGCCAGCCCAGGCAGGAAAGTCTGTGAGCCTTTTT